CCGCAGCGGGGGTAGCGGGTGGGGGGGCAACAAGGGGGGTAGCGGAGGAGGAGGGGGTGGGAATCGTACCATGGGGGGAGGGGGGAGCCGCTCGGTGGGGGGTTTGGTGGCGGCCAGGGAGGGGGGAGCATGAAATCTGGTGGATTCGGCCAGGGGGGTAGCGTCGCAAACCAGAACGGCAGCAGTGGGTCGAACCAATCGCAGGCGTTCGGGGGGATGCCGATGATGAACGGTGCTGCCATGAGCAATGGGGGAGGGATACCCTCCCTCATGAGCCAGGTGGTACAACCTGCCCAGAACATGTCGGGCTACACCGGCTATCAGTACCAGTAAGAACGGGAAACTGCACTTGGTAAAGTAATTATTAAGACTAATCTCCAAGAAGATCCTATGGTGGCAAAAAGACAGTATCAAATTGGCCAGGGACAGGGTGGCAAATTGGACCCTCTCTGGCGATTGGATACTGCCTGGCCAATTTGATACTGTCATTTGCCACCCTATGATCTGCTTGGAGATAACAATAAGGTGTATTGTACATCTCATTTCCATAAGCACGCTTGCTTGAGCTGTTGAGATATTCTAGTTGTGTTGTGTATGTACAAGGTACACGTATGTGGGGAATTGGGGGGGGGTGGTATTGTAAATTTTGTTGAAACTTTTGCGGTGGTTTGTCTTTTTGTAGTAACCTCTCCAGTGCAAAATCATGACACTGCAGAAGTGTCTAACTTGTGCAACTACTCTACTGCAGAATTGTGAATTTAAAACACTGAAAATCCTTCTTTTCCTCTTAGCCAACAATAAAACCACTGCAAAGGTAAATGAATTTACAGTATCTCAGCATATTATGTGGAACAACTTTTTTCTATCTCAAGTTAAGAATGACAAAAAAATGTTCGTCTAAGTAATGATGAAGACTGAAAGGGCGTTACTGAGAAATGTGGTAACCGAGGTTTTGTTTGTTTTTGCTTTGTAGAATACAAATGTTAAAGAAAAGAAAAGAAGAAGGTAATCTTATATACCAGAAGGGAAATTTGCATTATATCAATTTTGTGAATTGACATTTATACATCTACATGTATGTTCGTATGACTGATGGGACCATCAACTGATTATCAGATCGCACAAAGTAAGAACATTATAAGGGCATTTTTGTATTTATTTCATACTTAACAGAAGTGAGTTAGTGGTTATAATAAAAAAAAAAGGAATCCTAGACTAAGTAGGATCTGTAATAAACTTCCTGCACTCTTTGAAATCTGGTTTACAGTGTCACTTGGTTCACTATCCCCTTCGAGGTTTTAGAACTGTTAGGTTATAGTACTTAGTTTCAGGAAAAAGATATTCAATGACTTAATAATGCTCTTGGAAATGTCACTGGTACATATAACTCGAATAATGTCCAGACTGATACAATCATCACTCAAAATGTGTCGTGTACACATTATACATACATTAAATTTTGAAGAAAAGTATACAGCACTCTAATCTGTCAAACCCACTTGGTAACCACATTTGCATTGGATCGTGCTAAAAATTGAAACTTTGTACAATGATATACACATGTACATGTATATAATATCCCTTCACTAGGAACAAATCGACAACGGCCGTCTTGGTTGCCTAGTACAACATAGAAAATATATTTTCTTTCAATATCAAAATAACTCTAGACCCAGCGTTTCGAAGAGTTAGTCCACTTTGATGAGAGATTGTGTTGACTTTCCCAGACTAGTCCTACTTGTGTGTGTGCTCTTTGTATCAACGATGTAAGATTTAGCAGTATCCTCTGGCGCGGTGTTCGCTTTCGACGCCAGGATCCTTTCCACTAAAAACTCGTAAGCTGCGTTCTTTTCGCTCTCCTCCATGTCAAGAATTTTTCGTCTGCTGTTGATGATGCCAGGGTTTCTGAAGATGGTGTAGAGCACGAGCCATTTGAACCGCGCTGACGACAGTTCAGATTTCCTTGGTTTGATGTCTTGTTTTCCTGATTCTAAGCTTTGCATGGACATTTTCACCTCGTCGACTTTCTTGGCGTCGGATTTGGCATTGATGGAGTCGACCAAGTGTTGGATGAAGACCAGTAAGACCGGGTGCGTGTGCGCGACCTGAGTGTGTTTAGAGATCCACAGTTAGCAATCCACAATTTTCTTTGTAGCCATTCTTCCTGTGGTCATTGTACCAAACTACATGATACACTAAGAAAAAGACATAATGCATATGTTTACCCTCACATGGTCTAGACACGATATATAACCCAACACCATATCGTGTCTAGATCTGTTACTGTACCAGTTACCATGGTGACAGACGTCTGGCTCAGGTCATTGACGTCCGTATTTGGACTAAAAACCGTTTTGCTACCCTGGTTACCAGACCTATTTTAGCTCCCAAGTCTTTATCCTCTTTTGCGGATTCTAATGTTTCCTTCAGCGAAGGCAAACGGCAGTACAGTGTACAAGGAATATACATTTACAGAACATTTACTGAAGGAAGATACGTTTTCATTAGGACCATACACCAACGTACCTCTATCCTGAGCATGCCCAGGTAGGACTTGAACCCCGTGTCCCAGTTCTCGATGATGCGCATGAGCACACTGTGGTCGATCCTTGCCTGTAGCATGGCCCCCATAAACCCACCCAACAATAACCGCCACACCGACGAGAAGAAACCCACCATCAGATTGAAGAAGAAGAGGAAATAGGACGTAATGTGGTACAGGCGTCGGTTGTCTATGGCTAATGGTCGGTCCTGAAAGACATAATTTCAACTTACTTGCAATTTGCAACCAAGACGGAGGACACCACAGACTATATGCGAACTACATGTATGGTCCACTACAACGTAATGTGGTATGGCTAAGGCCTGGTTCTGAAAGAAATAAGCTTAAGTTTATTGCAATTTTCAACAAAGACAGAGGACGCCACAGAATATCTGCGACCAAATTGGCCAAAAAAACAATACTATGTAAGAGGAGTTAGCTGATAACCTCCAACATGGGGAGTCTGGTACATGTTGCCTGAATGCCAGACGCTGGCGTTCATAAACGATGCATTTTTTGTGGGGAGAAGCTCTAATGTCCGCCACAAGAGTATCCACCGCCAGGGTGCCAAATCGGGGTTCCCGGGGCGTATGGCTTCTCTGGCCGAAGGGGCTATCACTTATTCTAGGTAGGGGCTGGCACCCACGAACATACCTTGTCCTTTTTGTTGATCTTGCTCTGCGAGAAGACCACGGTGGCGAGAATCCTCTGCAGTAGCAGCGTGGTGAGACTGACGGCGGTCATGGGGCCGAAGTACTCCAACAGGCGCAGCAGCAGGTCCGGGAACAGGATACAGATGTACACGGCAGCACAGATCAGCAGGAACGTCATCTGGACATGTAAGAGGGGATCTTCTGTTAGCACGAGCCTGGTAGAAGCTATAAATTATAAGACAAACATGTCGAAGTACTCCAGTAGCCGCAAGAGCAGGTCTGGGAACAGGATGCAGATGTACACGGCAGCACAGATCAGAAGGAACGTCATCTGGACACGGTACGACAGAGGGGATCTTCTGTTAGAGCCTGGTAGAAGCTAATTATTATAACACAAACATGTCGAAGTACTCCACCAGACGCAACAGCAGGTCCGGGAACAGGATACAGATGTACACGGCAGCACAGATCAGCAGGAACGTCATCTGGACACGGCAGATACAGTGTTCAAGTAGAGAAATACACCGAAGAATGTTTAAATCTTAGACACTACATGTTAGAGAAGAGTTAAACCTTTATTGTTTCCGCTGGCATATATTCTGTACGTAGTGTGCGGCATACATATATTCTGTATGTAGGATGACTTCATTCATGCGTGTATTTAGCTCTGTTAGATCTTTTGTTTTAGAAGACCATAAGAAAGTCCCTGTACCTTTTGTTGAGTCAGTAAAGAATCTTTTTGTTACTTCGTAACATTTATGTGGTACAGAGTTGTAGGGTTCCTGTCAGTCTGTATTGTTAAAAGCACTTACCGAATTTCTCCGAAATCCTAGAAGGGCATTCTTTCTTAAAGACTTTTCTTTGCTGACATTGGGTACAGAATATGATCTACTGAGCAGTCGTACAGGCGTAATGTCATTTGGCGAAGGTATGAGGTCGTGGAACGCAAGTTTGGACATGACCTCATTCCCACTAGGATAAAATTGTCCGGATCAAAGCGAATCTATGATCCGGACATTTTACCCTAGTGGGAAAAGGGCTTTTATCACAATGGGAAAAGGGCCTATGTCTTCAAATAATTTGCATGTATATGATGCAAAAAAAACCAGCGATCTCTCATATACAAACTGCCTGTCACCTGCTGTATGATGAACCCCCACAGGATGAAGGCTATCTGGCCGCCGGAATATTTCATACTGGCTGTTATGGTCACAGCGGTGCTCGGCTGGTAGTTGGCGGGCATCCAGGACCTGTCCAGAAAAGCAGTTGGATGGATGTTATGTGGATGTTATGGATGTGACATATACTACTAATGAACAGTTATACGGTTCGTTACCAAATATATCTACAGTAGTTAAATGTCGACGACTAAGCTTGGCCGGTCATGTAATACGTAGTGAAGAACCAGCCAGTAGGCTTCTACTCTGAAACCCTGATACCGGTACGAGAAGAGTTGGACGCCCAAACATGACACTTAAGAAACTTATTGAAACTGAAACTGGCTTGGAGGGACATGAACTGATCTCTATGATGAATGACAAACAGTTTTGGCGAGCTAACTTTGCATGCTCCACCTCTAGTATGGAGGATAAAATATGATGATGATGATGGATGTGCTGAGAACTCAACATCCACTGGTCACAACATGTCACAAACTGGGGTCTATATGCTGACCTACCGAGACTCTGTGACTGAAAATCAGAACAAGAAGGTTGAGGTTTGCAGGTCACTGTCATAGGAATAGGGGCGTTTGTGGCCAAGCTTGTACTCTGGACTTCCAAGCATGGGAGGGGGAAGCCCGGCAG